AACCGAGCCGTTATTCATCGCTGGGTCAACTTTCCGTCGAGCAGCTTTTGCCCCGACTAATGTTTGCTTCTGTCCAACGGCGTCAATCGAGCCACGCGAAGGAACATTAAAAAATGCACGCCTTACACACCCTCTTTACGACCCCTCTCGCGGAGTTCGAGCCACGGGGCTGTTTTTCATCCGTTCGAAGTACCTCCTAGCTACTTTCGCGCGTCATTTTCGATAACGTTCGTTTCCACGAAAACGAAATTTTCATTCCCGAACTTCCACTCGCGTTCATCGACGTTTCTTAGCTTCGTTATTTTTATGACATTTTCTTTTTCGCGTAGAAACTTTCAACCTGCAAGTTTCGAATACTTTCAGAGACGGAGCTCAACTAAATACTAGCATACTTTCGATATCGATCGTACCTTCAACTATTTTAACACGGTATTTCAAAGTTACGAAAATACTTGGCAACATCGTTCTTCGTCGCTTCGAATTTCCTGTATGGTAGGGATTACGATCGTAGTCGCGAATCGTTCGATCGACTAGCGAATTATTGACAAGGAAGGTCTGGACATCGAGGAAGCTACTTGTTTAGGAAATCGGCCGAAAGTTATCGAATTAGTAGTAATATGTAATAAGCCGAATCAAGAAGGGTACGCGGGATGAGAGATTTATCGAATTAGCGGGAAATCTGTAGAGAATGGACAGTAACGTATTTAAGCGCGTTTCGTCTAACGAAGTTATACGGGTTAACGAGTTTTAACGACGAAACGAACAGGTGGTGGGTCATCGTCACACGCGACGGGACAATCGTGTAAGTTAAATTGTGTAAGTTGAACCGGTTACGAAGGAGAATCGTTGAAGTTCTAATGAAAAGTCCTGTGGGACGGGAAACGGAGATTAAATAACCAGCACGTAATTTTCGTTCGGCCTCGGGCAACATACAGGGCCGTGTTTGAAAAAGGCTTGCCAGAAGTTTGTTGGGGAAAAAAAAGCTACAATGCTACTGAAATGGACTTTCGAACCGACTCGTTACACGAAACGGGAAATAGGACAGTGCGATATTAATGCTTTTTTACTAGCGGTTCTCGGTAATTGGAACACGTTTCGTAGCATTTATCTTGCTCCAGATAAATTAGACTGGCAACGAGTATTCGTTCGATTCGCTTTTTTTTTTTTAACGTACATAATAGTTCGGTTCGAACTAGAGATCGCTTAATCGTATTCGATATCATCGAAAGTTCGCTCCCTCGGAGTAAGAATTTGCTTTGGATCCCTTGAAAGCGACGCGCAATTTGCTCGAGTAAGGCGAAGCTATCTCGCCGATTTAGCGCTTTGTTCGTATCGAAGAATAAAATAAGAAACAAAGCGAACGTTGTACGGAGTAGCTTACCTTCGGATAGTGTATCGAGATGGCGGACGTATACTGGAACGTCAGACTTCCCGGATAGCCGTAGAACGGTATCGTTATGATGTGCGTCTGAGAGTCGTCGAAGTAACCGAAGGCTAGTTTAGTGCCACTCGGTGAGAACCATAAAGCCTTGTTCGACCCGAACACCTCCTCTGAAATGAAAGGGACAAGCGTTAACTAGGCTTCACGATCTGCTATATCTTATCGCAAATGGACGATATTTTCGCACCTCGATGTCTCCGGATAACGAACAACTCTCTTCCTGAAATGGTTTTTTAATCTGTCGCGAAAGCGCGATCGTATAGAAATGACTTGTTCGACAACGGTACACGGTTTCGGAACCGCGTATCTCGAGAGAAGGATACGTTTCGTTTCGAGAACGACTACGTTCGCGGAGAAATATTTCTCTCGCAACGATGTTTCTGCCGTGGAAACGATTCTCCTGCGACTCTCGTTGCTCGCGAAATAATTATTTTCTTTGGACGAAACAGACCCGCGAAGAAAAAAAATTGGTAAATAAAAATAAGGAAAATAACGAAAATAGAGGATGCGAGAGAAAAGGTATTCGAGAAGATACGCTCGCGGAGAAACGTATATTCTTACGAAAGTATCTCGTCCCTTTTCAAAGATGCCCACTAGACGACCCTTTTTCAACGTATCTATATAAATTTCAGGCCGCTTAACTTGAAAAGCATTTTGTTTGCTTCTTCCCTTTCTTTTACGTTGGCCGTTTTCTCTGGTCAGACGGAAGTCTACCTTCGTGCTGCTCGAACACGACAACGTGATCCTGGAAGTCGCGATAGAAAAATCCATGCAATTTCCGGTAGCACGCAACGCCGTGTCTCGGACGATTTCACCGACAACCGCACGAGTAGACAACCGGAAAATTTCTCTCTTCGTGAAATACGAACTTGGACTCTTTCTAACGAACTTAACGTTTCGTTCGACGCGACAACTTTTCGATTAAACCGACGTTTTCCTTCGTTTTGCTTCCACCGATTGTACAACTTTTGAAAATTGTAACCGGTGACGTTGACGTACGCGGATATCGAAATGCGCTCGAGTCGAAAGTTAACGAAAAGGTACGCCCGAAAAATCCTCGTAATTCATCCGATGAACGTTTTCCCGAAAATACGAAACAAAATAACAAATATGTATGTACAACGATTCGTTCGGCGCGTTCCATCGGCATTTTCGCGTATTTTTTCAAACGCGAATTTCGTAAAAACTGTTCCACGGGGAACGCGATAAATCTGCCAGTTTGCGCGAACTTAACCAACTAGCTGTTTACCCGACCGATTGATAAGGTAGATCGTGAAACGGTATTAAATGTACGTGCCGAACGCGGTCAACGACCAAATTATTGTTTCCTGTACAGAAGATCGATGCAGGATACCGAAAAAAAATTGCGATAAAACGTACGTGTACGGAGAACTCGAATAAAAGCGTCCTTTCCGATTTTAATTTCATTTACCCGACATTCGTCGCGTTATTTGCGGACGTTATTTTTTCGGATTGAAAGCAAATATTGTTTTTTTATCGGAAGGAATAATTTGTTCGGAATGTTTTATTTACTTGTCGTTGCCAGTGGATAGCGTACTTTTCCCTATGAGAAGTGCACTTAAATGATCGAGCAAATATTACACGGTACATACCCGTGTTTAAAGACACTCGGTGTTGGATAGGGAATGTAATTGCGAGTGAAACATTTTCAATAAATGTTTCTACGTATTCCCGTTTTTCCTGACAAAGTTATTAAAGTAACAGCTTTTTCGTTTCATCGCGAAAGCGTTCAATTTCGTTTGCAATAGAAACGGAGTTTTCTGAGTGGAGTTAAACGATTAAAAAAATATTATACGTTTCTGAGCATAAAATCGTTTAGAACGCGGAAAAAGAATATAATTCCGACCCAACAGTTTTCTATAGGTCGTGGAAATTTTCAAAGAAAATTGAGCAAAGCTTGGTATTCGACGTATTTCGACGATTGAAAAATTAGGAACAGCGGATACGCACGATATCGGAAAGGTGCTCGATTAAAGTAAGAGGATAAAAGATGTTGGTTCTTGAAGGATTTTAATGGTCGTGTCGTTAAATCGTTCAACGACGGTACGAAATAATTAATGTATTTGTAGTGACAATATTATTATTAATATTAGGGAAAAGTTCCGATTCGAAGGCTAATTTTCGACTAAGCGCGTTCGACGTGAAACGCTTTTATCGCTTACAAAAGTGTCTCTCGTTTAGTTTTGCATGGCTTCTTTCAAAGTAAACAGAAAATTTCGCCGAAAGCTGTAGCACGACAATCGATTGGAATAATATTCCTCTTAGAGAACGAATCGTGGCGAGAGCTAACGAAAATTTCGATGATACTTAATTACGTAACCGAAACTAGTATTCCAAGTAATTGGCTGAGAAAGAGACCTTTGTTAAATTATCGTATCGAAGGAAGGTAATTTGCGAAAAGCGATTCGCAAACTTTTCTTCCTTTTAGCGAACGTAACGATCGTTCGAACCGAGGCTCGCGTTCGAAGGAAAATATAATTAAAAATAGAACGCGATTAAAATTGGACACTTCGGATTCTTCCAAGTTTCGCTTCGAAGTTTCCAACGTGGTTCCGCTAATCTGATCAAGATTTTTCAACTTCTTCGTACTCGTTCGTCGAACTTTTCAGCTTGGAACAATATTTGAAGCATGATCAAGATATTGTTAGCAACGAATCGTTAGGAAATTCGTGGCAGAAAGTATCGAACGGTCATTATTGGCCCCAATTTTTTAGGGGCGGCCGTCTTCGCGATCGCAGGGGACGGTTGATCGCGTCAGCAGCTTCGATAACGAACGTCTTTCTTCGTCGCGAAATAAAAGGGAACAAGAAGAAACTCATCGTCGACCTTTTCGAAAGAAGAAGGAGGATTCGCCTTCGTTTTAAATATTTATTTATAGTCTGAAAAGAAATATGGTAGAGTACTTTCCACGATCATAAATCGATATAAACAGCACGATAATAATCCGAAGAAGGAAGCATCAAGATGTTCTCCGAACGGTAGTTTCGACGAAAAACGCGCGGAGATTCGCTAACGATTGATATTTCCATCGCTGGATCGCATCGAAAAGTCGTTCGTCGAGACTTATGAATATTTCAGCGACAACGATATGTCAACAGAGGTGGATAAATAACAAATAAATGAATAGGCAATACGTCGACGAAGTGTGCAAAATGACAAGAAACCAACATCGAGACGAATTTCCGTGAAAATTTGATATTCGTGGGAAATACTTTAGAAGCGCGAAATTCGCTTCGCGTAACTTAAATAGAAAGGAAATATGTAACGTTTCGAAAGCAATGAAAAAAAACTCCGCGATATCGATCCATTTTCCATTCAACTATTGCGTACACGTTTACGTTTTTATCGTTCGATTTTGTGCATTTAATTTGCCGTAGCAAGCTTATTCGCGAAAATACGAGCACTCGACTTTACCGGCATTAGCTCCGTAAACTAGGATGTTTGTTTTTTTTTCAAAATGGTTTCGCGAAACGTTTACGAGTGCGTTGCGTGTTTGATATTTCGTTGCACGGTATCCATTCTCGTTCGCGATGCAATTAGGTTTTATTTCCGATTTCTTCACCGATTTTATTAGCAATTTAATTTCTGATTAAATTGGGAAAGAGCTTCTTCCGCGTAGCGATTTTACGGAGCATTTGGTATCGCGTCCGTGGATCAAATGAGAACAGCGCCGTTATTTTCGTAGGGGGCGGGGGATGTAGGGAAGGAAAGAAAAGGGGAGAAAGGAAAAAAGGACGGGAGAATGAGCTACTTGTTTCTTGTTCTTGCTCGAAAGGGGATGACCTAGGGCTGCGCGTAAATACCAAAAGCTCGAAGAAAGTACCATTGAAAAAGGGTAGGGAGGGGTCTGTTTGTGAAAAAAGGGTGGTTGTAAGCCATATTTCGCGAAACTGGAAGACCGTGGACGAACAACCGGGGAAAAGGTAAATTTTCCTTCGAGCCCAGGAAGAGAACCGGAAGAGGAAAAGTCAGTGTGGACAGACAAGGGGTCGGAGAGGAGAGGATACAGGATGAGAACGAGTAGTAGCAGGTCTGCAAATACAAAAGAAAGGGAACGAAGAAAGAGGACAAGAAGAAAGGGAGAGGGTGGAAGAAGGAGGAGACGAAGAAAAGTACAAAGACACGACATTGCGTTGCGCAGCTCGCTGGACGTGACGAGGGAGAGAAATATCCCGAGGGTAAAATTCACCGTAGGACAGGTACAAGGGGCCGAGAGGATGAATATGAACACAACGAAAGAAACGAACAAATTCCCTTAACGTTTCTATAATTATTTCGTAACCTGACCGTGTATCGATAAATAGTTGCCAAACGAGACGAGAATAACGAGTTAAATACGAGAATAAGGATTTTAAAACCGAGAACCATCTTTAACGTTCGATATTTTGACGCGTCCGACTGCGCGTTTCCATTTGCACCGTGGCGCAATGGTATTAATAATACAGCGGATTTCGTTTGGCGCAGCCGGATAAAAGGAAGGAGAAGTCGAACAAAACTAAAAGTAAAATAAAATTGTGCTCCATCGAGAAAACAAATAGCGTCGCGCGCGACACTTTCAAACTTCCGAATTTCTGTCTCATTAACGAGCGCGAGCGAAACTTACGAGTAGCTGGGCGTGCATTTACTTTTGGCCGACGATCGACGATGTTCCTGGTCCCGGAACCGTGGTCCGGAAATACGACAGCCCCGGAAACGTGGTTCCGGCGGGAACGCTGCGCCGTCGCGCCGAGCCGCGAATTATTATACGATTTCTCCGGGCTAACGATTTGAAACGGGGAATAATTTCCGTGCGGTGATGGCTCGTGGTTAGAATTTTGCGAAACAGATTTACAATTATCCCGGAATTCGAGAACGGATAGGATCGATGCCACGAGTTTACGCTTCGATTATCGGAAGACGATCCAGGGGATTGACGTCGATTCTTTGTACAGATTGTTTCGAACGGAAGTATTTCACTCGAAGAAGCAGAAGAAAGAGAGTTTCGATTACTCGTAATATCCTATATGTATAGGTACCTATGATAGGTACGAACGCGTTAACCGGTGTAACGAGTATGTCTGACTATATACGTCTATTTCCACTGTGACGC